TTATCTTTGATTTAGATATATATTTTTGATACTATTGCATCAGCTTGGTCACAAAAGGTACTTATGATTTCTTCATATAAATTCTTATTGTCTAAATTTTTAATAAATTAACTATTATTTAGTCCGCTGTGGGGAACATTGATCCTCGTGTTGGACACACCGCTCTCCTAGGTAAATTATTAAAGCTTATATTTGATACATATTTTTATATTTATAATTTCTAAATAATTATAATTAATATTATATGCATACATACATTTTACTTGATTTTAAAGCACCCGATAATCACACTATAGTAATCTTAGGTGGATCACAAAGTTACGCACTTAATCAGACTATATCATATCCGGTTTTTGTATTGCTAGATGTTAAATCTGAACCCTTTCAATATTCCAGTCCTCAACCTTCTGGAATATCTCCTCCTCCATTATCATTCCATACGGCAACACTATATGATTGTAGCATTTGGTAATGATTTATGCACATCCAATAATTATAGGTTATTGCGCAATTACATATTTTTCATAGGAAATCCGCTTACGATTTGCTATATTATTTATACGTTTTTAAATAACACATATTGAATAAACTGATAACATAAATAGGGTTTGTCAAAATTATAGGACGTTTTGCCAAAATTATATCCAATTTCTTTTAGAAGGGTCTGCTTACTAATGCAACAACTTTTCAAGAATGAAGCTGCATTTAATGCTGCCTTTTTTTAAAAAAAAAAAACAAAATCAACAGTATAATCTCTGGCAATGACGTCCTATAACACAAAATAAGACTATTTATGCACATTATTCTCTTGACATGGGTGATTGTCTTTCATAATATAATACAGAATTAAATAGAAATTATTAGCAAATCTTGGTGTCTAAAAGTATAAAAGTTGTCATTTAACGAATACTTTTATTTATTTATTATTTATTTATTTTAAAAAAAATTATATAGGTAACGTCACCAACGACTCTGGACCTTCAACTAATACATCAGCTAATATATATTTAATGAATCTTTCAAATTACACATGGGTGACGCAATTTGAAAATATTTCAATCCCTAATGATACCCATATCCCTACCGCTGCTACTACTAATAATAATAACGATAACAATAATAATAATAAATTGGTCATTATTATTGCTCCTATTATTGTTGGCCTTGCCGTTATTATTGGTACAATAATATGCTTCAAACGTTATGGACAAAGAATGTACGAGTCTTGCCGTATAAGAATTGGAAATACCTCAACCAAAAAACCAGTCGAACCACCCTCATAATTAACAATAAAGTAAATGCTTAATGTTTATTGGTAATTTTTTAATTTAAGGTTTTAAGCGAAAAAAGACCAAATTTTTTATTTATTTTGTTTATACTCTACAATTACTCTAATAGAAAACCCGCATTAGCACCAACCTTAATTTAAAAAAGAAATGTGTTTAAAAAAAGTTCACAATACAATGTATGTAACTTGCAGCTTTAGGAAGAACTATCCTAAGAGCCGCTGAGATACATAATTTCTAACAGTAATCATTAATTAAAGCATACTTTGAACATTTTCAATTTAATAAATAGTGAAATGATCGAATTATAGTGCAAGATAAAAATAATTTATTGTACATTAAACTTTCTACATTATTAAATTTATGTGATATTTTGCTTTGAAATAAATTCCATTTTACAACTTCAACCAATTACTATATTCGAGATCTTAATGCTTTGATACTATCTGAATCAATATTCAAGGATTTAGCCAAGTTTTCAAAAGAGGATTTATATTCACTAGTTGCATATGAGAATTTATTTTTGATCCCATTAACAATTATTTAGCAGTAATTGAAAGTGGACAAGGACTGTCCTTTCGTTTATTGAATTCAAAGTTATTACATACTCCTTATTTTCAAGGACGTAGACACCAAAATTTTAACATTTACACCTAAAGTCTAACTTTTACTGACGCACCTCAGATAGCTATCAGATGACCAGCATTAAATGATCTGCAATAATTGGCCCAAATTATACCGTAATTTTCACCCTAAACCTAATTCTAACTCGGGCCGAGAGTCATCTAACGCAAGGATGCAACTGAGGCAAAACATAACACATAAAATTAACGAACCTCGGAATGCGTAAATTTTGATCAGCACGACATCAAAACAAAACACGTGCGCAAGAGAAAAAAGCGAAAATACTCAAAAACTAGTGTTTAAATCGGCCTTTGAGCACTAACAAAATTGTCGCGAGCGTAATTTTACATATGGGGATGATCTTTCAAGGCCTATAACCACGAACGCTAACCGGAAGCATAACATAAAGCCAAAAGGCTTATCCACGTTACTGCAAAAGTGTCTAGACTCCTGGCGGAATCAAATAGTCAAATAAACGTATACACCGAGGAGTCTTATGGCGCAGTCTTTTTGTAATCACGTATACGCGAATTTTTCGATGGTTTATTTGATTTTCATGTACCTAAGCCACTAAGCCGCCTTCAATTTCCTTAATAGAATAAGCGATTAAATATTTACAAAGATTACAGTACTGCTATCAAAATGGAATTGTACTAAAATATATACATATTTAGAAGAAAAATAAGAAAATATTATTCTATTGAATCATATTAACAACTAACTACAGAACTAATAATTCTATCCATAACAATATTTAATGCTATATTTAAGTCATTAAGAAAATTTTCGAATTTATTGAGCATATAATATGCTTGTACTCGCATTTTTAATGCATCAAAATTTCTTT